ATCTATCTATCTATCTATCTATCTATCTATCTATCTATCTATCTATCGCACTAGCAGTTACACTTATATATCGCTTTTACAGCCCTCTGTAAGCAGTTTACAGAGTCAGCCTGTTGACCCCAACAATCCGGGTCCTCATTTTACCAACCTCCGAAGGATGAAAAGCCAAGTCAACTTTGAGTTGGTCAGGATCGAACTGCTGCCAGTGAGCAGAGTTAACCTGCAATACTGCATTCTAACCACTGCACCACCACGGTTCTTATCAACAACTTACCGTCTTCCCTTGATTTACTGTTGACTTTGGCCACCTCTAACAAGATTTCTCTTCTGCTCAGATACCTGGATACCTGCAATCTCCTACGGGACGGTTGGTTTAGCCTTGTTTCTGACTCTACAGAAAGCCCAAGCAGTGGTCATTTCAGCAGCTCAAAGACTCACCTTCTCTCTGTTGCTGTGGAATCATGGGAGGTGGCTGTGGGAAGGCCTGGCCTATCTGACCATAGGCTGCAGGATAAGCAGCTAGAGGGAGAAAGGAAGAAAAGCAGACTTTAAGGTCCTTGCAGGAACAAGAGAGGAACTGTATCATCTCAACCCAAGAATTCAATCTCATAAGTCAGAAACAGCCTTTTGCAAGGACGCCAGAAGATCCAAATATTTAGGAAACCAGACCTCTTAACATTCAACAGTGGAAGGAGGAGATAGAATAGCTCAGAGGAGCTAAAGAAAGTTCAGCTTCCAAAAAGATGCTTTTTTTTCCCCAAAAGGAAACTGGACTTCCTTGGTTTATTTCCTTTGAAAACATTTTGCTCCTCATCCAAGAAGCTTCAATCAGAATAGAGCTGGAAGGGACTTTGGAGGTCTTCTAGTCCAGCCCCCTGCTCAAGCAGGAGACCCTATTCCATTTGACAAAGGTGGTTCAGTCCCTTCTTAAAGACCTCCAGGGATGGAGCATCCACAACTTCTGGTGGCAAGCAGTTCCACTGGTTAATTGTCCTCACTGTTAGGAAGTTTCTCCTTAATTCCAGGTTGCTTCTCTCCTTGATTAGTTTCCATTTACGGTTTCTTGTCTTGCCTTCTGCTGCTTTGAAAAATAAGCTGAGCCCCCCCCTCTTCTTTATGGCAGCCCCTCAAATATTGGAAGACTGCTATCATGTCCCCACTAGACCAGCCAAACCCAAATCCTGCAACCGTTCTTCATACGTTTTACTCTCCAGGCCTTTAATCATCTTATATATATATGTTTTTCCTCTAGCCAGGTTTTCCCTACATAACCAAGGTTTTTCTGCAGCCCCATATCTCTATCTCTATCTCTATCTATCTATCTATCTATCTATCTATCTATCTATCTATCTATCTTGGTAAAGTGACCAAAACTGGATGCATCATTCTTACTAAGGTTTTATAAAGTGGTAATCATACTTTATAAAATACTAGCTGATAACCAAGTATTGCCCAGGTATTTATTTATCCCAATCCTGTATTAGACAGGAAGAGCAACTTCACCCTGAGCCCTGATTTTGGTGAGAATTAAATTAATTAGAAATGTTTCCCTGTGTCCCCAAAAGCATCAAGTAACATGATACTATGTTGTTTTATTAGCTGCTCCATGATCATTTGGACGTTGTAGTTCTTTTCTCCTATGTATGCCTTGTTGAAAATGTCCGGACCAAACGTAATTTCTAATGTTGGATTTTCCCCCTTACCAGAGGGAGCCCCCTTGTGGAGTACGGTAAAGCCATTACCATGGCAATTCCACTGTGCTGTACAGTAGAAGCCATTTTAAGGCACAACAGGCTGTATGCTGTATCTTAACAGAACACACCCTGAGGGGTGTTAGGGGTGTCTTACCCGCACACAGTATTTCTTTCCAGAGAGTAAGTCATCCGTGTACCATGTTTGGTTGAAATTGATCAAGGCGTTCCAGAGTTATGCTGGAACATACACACACACATCCATTTATATATATATAGATTAAGAATTTATAAGGTATTAGTACTAAAGGAGAGGTACTTCTTCTGGAACTTCAGGAATTGAAGAAGCTTCTTGGATGAGAAGCGAAATGTTTTCAAAGAGGAAGAAAAAAACAAGAAAGTCCAGTTGCCTTTTGGAAGAAACACTTTGGGGACAACCATGACCTATATGATTGAGACGCTCCATAGACATTCGAAGTTCAGCTTCCATGTTTGCGCATATCATGTACCTCAAATGGTCGTTCGGAAGTGTCAAGTTATTGCACTGACAGGTTTGACGGATGGAAAAAAAAAACATGAACGATGAAGAGTCACTACAGCCAATTTCAACCATTTCAAGATGGAGAAGATAGACCAGGATGTACTGAGACATCTCAAGGTCCTTTGGAGGAAAGAACAAGACTCCAATGGTTTAGTCATGAAAAACACAGAAGTCAAGTATCCTTCCATTCAGGTTTCATTAGTAGCTGCCCAGACATTGCCCATATTGTTCTCTTGCAATGAGATGTGAGATGGTCTTCTTCTGAGACTTCCTTTCCTGGTCTAGCTACAGTTTGGGATTTGTTAATGGTCTCCTATCCAAGTACCCTCAAGATCATTCTTTGGTCATCTGAACATCACCCAATCGTTGCCAAGAAAACCACATGGACATCTCCCTGAGGTCTCTTGGAGATAAGCTTGAATCAAGAGGGTCCTTACCTTTTATCCTAAACCTTGCCTGATACCTGTTCCTCAACAGGTTACATCAGCTTGACTTTTTGCATAACACATTCTTGTGAAAATGGTAGATAAATGCAGATGGTACAATTTAAGAGAGTTTCCCCGTATGACCCCCTCTAAATAATGTAGCTGGGCTGCAAACCATGGAATTTTAGTATATATAGATGATGATATGATGATGATGATGATGATGATGATGATGATGATGATGATGATGATGATGATGATGATGATGATGATGGAATTAGCCAATCCAGAAACATATTTGGGGCACGTCTTAACTTGATTGGGCTTAATTTAGATCTTCTACCTTACCAAAATAAGAAGACAACCAATATAATGTGTAGGGTTAGACTTTTCCAAGTTAGTGCTCTGCAGAGATCTTACATGAAGAACCTTCTCATTCCCAAAGAAGCCTACAACTCTCATCACTCAGGATAACAACCGAACTGTCAGGTTTCGATACTATCTCAAAATAAATGAATTTCCAAACTGCTGATCTTTGAGGAAATTTTCTCTTTATTGAGCACAGTGATCTGTCCCTGGCTCTTTCGCGGTCAGCACTGACCTTTGCCCCCCAATCCCTCCCTTTCCGATCCCCAATTCTCTGCATCTCATTGGCTATCTTCCAAGCCACTCTCCTCATCCCATCTCCGTCAGATCACAGGAATGTCCCCCCCCCTCCTCCCATCTCCGAGGAAACAGAATCTTCAAAGGAATTAAGTAGGCAAACGTTCAACCTTCTCCTCTCCTTTCAATATGTCAGCGCTGGAATGCTGACACGAACAACAGAGTTGGAAGGGACCTTGGAGGTCTTCTAGTCCAACCCCTGCCCAAGCAGGAAATCCTACCCCAGTCCAGACAAGTGGTTGTCCACTCTCTTCTTAAAAACCTCCAGGAATGGAGCATCCACAACTTCTGGAGGCAAATTGTTCCACTGATTAATTGTTCTAACTGTCAGGAAATTTCTCCTTAATTCCAGGTTTGCTTCTCTCCTTGATTAGTTTCCATCCATTGCTTCCTCTCCTGCCCTCAGTTGCTTTGGAGAATAGCTTGACCCCTTCTTCTTCTTCAGCCCCTTAGATATTGGAATGCTACTATCATGTCTTCCCTAGTCCTTCTTTTCATTAAACTAGACCAGGGGGTCTGCAACCTTAAACCTTCAAAGAGCCATTTGGACCCATTTCCCACAGAAAAAAAAACACCGGGAGCCACAAAACCTGGGTAGGCATGGCCAACTCAATATCACTCACTTCCACCAGTCACATGACACCCCCCTAGCCACGCCTACCCAGCTGATCATTAGAGCAGAGAGCCAGTTGTTAAAAAACACCGGGAACCACAAAAGCTTTCTCTCTCTCTCTCTCCCCCTCTCCTTCTCTCCCCCCTCTCTCTGTATCTCTCTCTGTCTCTCTCTCCCCCTCTCTCTGTATCTCTCTCTTTCTATCTCCCCCCTCTCTCTCTTCCCCCCTCTCTGTATCTCTCTCTCTCTATCTCCCCCCTCTCTCTCTTCCCCCCTCTCTGTATCTCTCTCTCTATCTCCCCCCTCTCTCTCTTCCCCCCTCTGTATCTCTCTCTCTCTTTCTCCCCCCTCTCTCCCCCCTCTCTGTATCTCTCTCTCTCTCTGTGTATCTGTCTCTCTCTCCCCCTCTCCTTCTCTCCCCCTCTCTCTGTATCTCTCTCTGTCTCTCTCTCCCCCTCTCTCTGTATCTCTCTCTGTCTCTCTCTCCCCCTCTCTCTCTTCCCCCCTCTCTGTATGTCTCTCTCTCGATCTCCCCCTCTCTCTCTTTCCCCCTCTCTGTATCTCTCTCTATCTCCCCCCTCTCTCTCTTCCCCCTCTCTGTATCTCTCTCTCTCTGTTTATCTGTCTCTCTCTCCCCCTCTCCCTCTCTCCCCCCCTCTCTCTGTATCTCTCTGTCTCTGTCTCTCCCCCTCTCCCTCTCTCTCTCTGTATCTCTCTCTGTCTCTCTCTCTCCCCCTCTCCCTCTCTCTCTCTGTATCTCCCTCTGTCTCTCTCTCTCTCTGTGTATCTGTCTCTCTCTCCCCCTCTCCCTCTCTCCCCCACCTCTCTCTGTATCTTTCGGATTTCGAAGGCCAGGCAAGGAGTGACTGGGAGGGGAAGGCGAGGGGCAGGGCCAGCCAGTGATGGAACAGGGAGCCACAGCAGAGGGCCCAAAGAGCCACATGCGGCTCCGGAGCCACGGGTTGCTGACACCAGAACTAGACATACCCAATTTCCTTCAACTGTTCTTCATATACATTTAAGCCTTCCGTCCCCTAATCATCTTTGTTGCTCTTCTCTGCACTCTTTCTAGAGTCTCAACCCATTGGGACCCAGCCAATTCACCTGGATCGCGCCAAGGTCTAGAAAACTCAATTAAATCTCAGCGCCTCAAGTGATCTGAATAACAGAGACCAACAGCAAGCGGAAAGGCTCCTTTGATCTCAAGCAGAATCCAAAAATAATGAACCCATGGGGTCCCAGCTGGAGCAGGAAAGCAGGCAAGCAAGCGTCCATTTGCATACTTGGACTTTAATTAAGAGCCGCAACCCTTTGAATCGAACCTCTCAACGTGACCTCTCTGTCAAGCCGGACACGCAATTAAAGGAATGAAACACCAACCAATGCAGGTTTTAAAATTTACGTTCTCCGGATTCCCCCCCCCCCCCCCCCAAAAAACCCCCCTCTGCACAGCAAGAACTAATGACTGTCCTTTGCACCACAGGAAGCAAACTAATCCGTTGAAGCAACAAGCTGGACTTGTTAGGTGGAAAAGGATGTTGAGATGTTCTGAATAATTTCTACAATATCCTTATGGCATGTCCTACAGGGGTGGGGTCTACATTTTTTTACTACCGGTTCTGTGGGTGTGGTTTATTTTGTGGGCATGGTTTGATGGTCATGTGATAAACAATTCTTTAGGATCTAGCAGATCTACCAGGCTTTTAACTGCTTGCAGAGCCATACCGGTCTACCCATTTGTTTTTGGAGCGCACTGGTCTACCGCCACACTGCCTTTTACCGCTGATCAGCTGTAGGGCGGCCCTTTGAAGCCCCACGGCAAGAGTTTAAACAGTTTTTTGCCGCTCTGCCTCCACCGAGAGCATCGGAAACCGCTTTCAGGCAGCTTGGCCTCAATTGCCAATCTACCACCACCGAGTAGTTTACAAGGAGCGGATCGGTTTTAGCCGATCAGTTGGGAGGCTTCTTGGCTTCTCAATTTTTATTTTTATTTTTAATTTGATTTATATGCCGCCCTTCTCCGGAGACTCGGGGCGGTTTACAATGCGTTAAGCAATAGCCTTCATCCTTTTGTATATTTATACAAAGTCAGCTTATTGCCCCCACAAACTGGGTCCTCATTTCACCTACCTTAGAAAGGATGGAAGGCTGAGTCAACCTTGAGCCTTGGCGAGATTCGAACTTACAATAATTGCAGGCAGCTGGTCTTAATAAGCTTAATAACAGGGTGCCTTAAACCCCTGTACTACCAAGGCTCTTATTTAAAGCTACGGTGTCTTTTTTTTTCTCCTCTTCTTTGTCAAGTGAGCCCTGATTTTTTTCCTTCTAGCCAATCAGCTGGGACTCGGGAGGCAGTGAATAGATTGGGGGCGGGGCCAGGCAGAGGTTGTATTTACCGGTTCTCCGAACTACTCAAAATTTCCACTACCGGTTCGCAAGAACCGGGGAGAACCGGTAGCAACCCACCACTGATGTCCTAGCTCCATGATGGTGAAACTATGGCACGCGCGCAAGAGATGGCACACAGAGCATTTTCTGAGAGCATGCACGCAGGGGTGGGCTCCTGGGGGTTCGGCAGGGTTTGGGCGATCCTCTAGCCAAGGATCGCCGGGGTTTGGCGAACCGCCAAATGCCACTCCTGGCTGACCACGTCTACCCACCTCTCCCCTCCCAGAAGTCTCCAGGCAGCCCGTTCATCATTCCAGGTAAGTGCAGGGGCCGCGCAGAGGGTCTGGGAGGGAAAAAAACGGGTGACTGCAAAACAGCGGGGGAAGCTGTTTTCGCCCTCTGGAAAGCTTCTGGAGCCTGGGGAGGGCAAAAAACACCCCTCCGCTATGGGGCAGGTGGCCGACTAGGCCATGCCCACCATGGCCACACCCACCCAGCAACAGGGCAGTGAACCCGTTGCTAAAGGATCTGAAGCCCACCCCTGCACGCGTGCCATCGCCAGCTGCTCTTTGGGTTCCTGACACACGGGCTGGTGCGCATGCACAGGCTGACTACCTGGTCTTCGGGTGTCCGGTGCTCCGGCACGCATGAAGACCAGATGGCCGGCGCACATGCGTGTGCCAAGAGCCCCAAAAACAGCTAGCTGGTGCGTGCATGTGCAACTTCCAGCTGGTCATTGGGTTTCCGGGGCTCTGGCGTGCGCACACATGTGCCCTTGCATGCAGGCGTGTTCCGGTTTGGGAACTCGGTGCCGACAAGGTTCGCCATCACTGTCCTAGCTGCATGAGCGAACCCGGAGTTGAACTAAACTCTTGGTTCCTACATCCGTGCGCAATTTCTTAAAGCAATTATGGAACGTATTTATTTAAGAAAAATTGTTTTATGGCTGCCAGCTCACTCCCGGTGATTCTGGGCAATAATCCCACATCCCTCTCGGTGACAACACTCAAACGATAAGGATAGGGATTACAACAAGGTCCAATTCAGAATAGAGTTGGAAGGGACCTTGGAGGTCTTCTGCTCAAACAAGAGACCCTATGCCAGTGACGGCTAACATTTTTGCCATCGCGTGCCAAAAGCAGGGGGAATGTAGGGTGGTCACATGCGTGCATGCCCACACCCATAATTCTATGCACCCTGCCCCCCGCGCAAGAGCGTGTGACCCCCACACGGTCCCCCCCGATTTTGGCATGTGATGGCCCGGTGGGCCCTATAGGCCTGTTTTTCGCCCTCCCCAGGCTCCAGAGGCTTTCTAGGAGCCTGGGGAGGGTGAAAAAAAGCCTTCCCCACCCCCCTGGAGGCCCTCTGGAGGCCGGAAACAGCCCATTTGCCAACTTCCGGTGGGCCCAGAAGGTCTGAAAATCAGCTGGCCAGCATGTACATGCGTACTGGAGCTGAGCTAGGGCAATGCTCGTGTGCCCACCAATATGGCTTCACGTGCCACCTGTGGCACGCGTGCCATAGGTTCGCCATCACAGCCCTATGCTATTTCAGACAAGTGGTTGTCCATTCACTTCTTTAAAACCTCCAGTGATAAAGCACCCACAACTTCTGGTGGCAAGCTGTTCCACTGATTAATTGTCCTCACTGTTGGGAAGTTTCGCCTTAATTCCAGATTGCTTCTCTCCTTGATTGGTTTCCATCCGTTGTTCCTTGTCCTGCCCTCTGTTGCTTTGGAAATGAGCTATTTGATGGGTTTCACCCAGTGGTGGGATTCAATTTTTTTTTTTACTACCGGTTCTTTGGGCGTGGCTTGGTGGTCATGGCATGGCTTGGTAGGTGTGGCTTGGTGGGCGTGGCAGGGGAAAGCATACTGCAAAATCTCCATTCCCTCCCGATCAGCTGGGACTCGGGGGCAGAGAATAGATGGGGGTGGGGCAGGGGTGAAATCCAAAATTTTTCCCTACTGGTTCTGTGGGGCGTGGCTCGGTGGGCATCGCAGGAGAAGGATATTGCAAAATCTCCATTCCCACCCCACTCCAGGGGAAGGATACTGCAAAATCTCCATTGCCTCTCCTCCTGGGGGAAGGATATTGCAAAATTTCCATTCCCTCCCCACTCCAGGGGAAGGATACTGCAAAATCTCCATTCCCTCTCCTCCTGGGGGAAGGATATTGCAAAATTTCCATTCCCACCTCACTCTGGGGCCAGCCAGAGGTGGTATTTACCAGTTCTCCGAACTACTCAAAATTTCCGCTACCGGTTCTCCAGAACCTGTTAGAACCTGCTGGATTTCACCCCTTGGGTGGGGCCAGCCAGAGGTGGTATTTACCGGTTCTCCGAACTACTCAAAATTTCCGCTACCGGTTCTCCAGAACTGGTCAGAACCTGCTGAAACCCACCTCTGGTTTCACCTCAATCTGGGGGTCCCCAATTCCCAATCGGCAAAACAAGGACTTAAAGGCCTTTTAAAAGAGTGTCAAGGTAGGGGCCTATCTTATTTCTGTCAGGATGATGTTCCCCAGGGAGGGAGCCACCACAAAGAAGGCCCTTCTACTTTGTCCTGCTAGGTGGACCTTCTTAAAGGTGAGGGGAGCTGTAACATTCTCTGCCTCCCCACTCTGGTGGGTCAGGTAGATATGAGCGGGAAAAGATGGTCCTTTGAATATTTGTCCTTCCTTTCTTCTTGGATGCATTTTGATTGCCAGTTGGATCCCAAACCCTGGAATTTTTAGCTTGGTTTGGCTCTCTGTTTATATGTTGTTTGCTACAATACCCCAATTATGGAACTACCAACTCAGACAATCAACGAGTAAACCACCATCAAGGAAACATCAAGACAAATCCCACCAATGTTGATATACGAAAAGCCACCAGTATATAAACAAAGACTAAACTCCACTCCCTACCAGCACCGATGATGTTACCTAGTTAGGTAATGAAATGTCTACTAGAAAACAAGCACAATTAGAGAGCACCAACAACCCCACAGTTCAAAGATGAGTATAAATATTCTCTTCTAACCAAACCACTTTGTATATAAAAGCGATCAAATTTTACCTAGTTGGGTCATGAAATGTCTGCGAGAAAACCACCAAGCTCAGAGAGCACCAAGGACCCCACAATTATTCTCCTCCTCCTCCTCCTCCTCCTCCTCCTCCTCCTCCTCGTCCTCCTCGTCCTCCTCCTCCTCGTCCTCGTCCTCCTCCTCCTCGTCCTCCTCCACCTCCTCCTCCTCTCTTCAAATCCCACTCCCTTCTAGCACTGATGATGTTAACTATTTGAGTCATGAAATGTCTGCGAGAAAACCACCAAATTTAGAGAGCACCAAGGACTCCACAATTATTCTCCTCCTCCTCCTCCTCCTCCCATCTCACCCCTCCTCCTCTCCACAAACCCCACTGCCTTCTATCACTGATGATGTTACCTAGTTGGGTCATGAAACGTCTGCAAGAAAACCACCAAGCTCAGAGAGCACCAAGGACCATACAAGAGCTACAAATATTCTCCTTGATTGGTAAACCTAAGGAAGAAATGAACGCCTCTTAAGACACAGCACAGATGTTGCCCCTTGGCCTGCTGAGAGACAATGAGATGAGATGAGCCATGAATGTGACTTTTCTAATGCCACCCCCCCCCCCCCGCACCCTAAAGTGATAGGGTTCTTGGGGGAAAGTGTTAATACTAACGACCTGCGTATTGCTGTACTCCAGCGTATGCTTGCTGCAAAGGATCAGCCGTGGTTGGACTTTGTGCTGCGAAAACACAAGAGAGAGAAAAGAAAGAGGAGGTTGAAACATAACACATTTGGCGACATCAATATAACAGAGTAACAGAGTCGGAAGGGATCCGGGAGGTCTTCTAGTCCAACCCCCGGATCAGGCAGGGGACCCCTATAACATTTCAGACAAAGGGTTGTCCAATCTCTTCTTAAAAACTTCCAATGTTGGAACAATCGACCCCAGCATTTATGTTGTTAAGTGAATCCATCCCGTTTTACGACTTTTCTTGCCACCTTTGTTCAAATCAAAACTTTTTTATTTGTTTATCAAAGTATAAAATACAAAGGGAAACAAAAACATGGAGAAGTAAGAAGAGAGGGAGGAAAAAAGAGGAGGTGTAGTGCAAAGGGAGAAAAAAGAAGAAGTTGGTGCCTTTTTTCTTTTTGTTAAGTGAATCATGGTGAATCCCTGTTGTTAAGTGAATCTGGGTTCTCCATGGACTTTGCTAGCTAGAAGGTCGCAAAACGACTCCCGAACACCACAACTGTCATAAATGTGAGTCAGTGGTCAAGCATCCAAATGTAAGTCACGTGACCATGGGGATGCTGCAATGGACGTAAGTGTGAAAAATGGTCATAAGTCACTATTGTCAATTCGCAAAGCATCCCTGGCTTGCTCTCGAGTTGCCATAAGGAAGGGGGATGGGAAACCGATGAAGCAGCAGGGCAGCCAAAGACAGGAGCACATTCCAGACATATCTCTCTCAAGGCTGTCTCCCAGGGTTATCCACAGCGGCCGGAGGGGAGTGATTTCTACAACACATGAAATTGCTCCATTGGTGAATGACACACCTTGGGGGGAGGAGGGAAACAGGGTCATGATTGGGGCATAAATTACGTGGGGTCAGAGTTGGCTTCAGCTGGAACGTGCTAACATGAAGCTCCTAATAAATAACTGGATTTCTTTTGAAGGTTGACTCGAGGTTCATGATTTAATTAGGGCATCTGTCAGAACTCTGACAACTATTTTCAGTGGCATTGTAACTTCATACCGTCAGTAAATGACTATCTGTATTTAGTGACTCTCTCCTAGAACTTTTCACATTTATATAAACATTTTAGGGAAGGTGGTTGTGAGTTTTATTTATTAGATTTGTGGCTCTAGAGTTGACTTTAGCGACGATGTAGAAATATAATCAGAAAAAGAAGCAGAAAAGTAGAGGAAAAGCAAGTTATTAATAAAGAGCAGGTTTTTCAAGCGCTGTAAGTTTGACAAGAAATAATTCCGAAATGACATTGATATAAATCTACATATTAAAATATCGCACGTCTGTCTGAAAGTTAAAAAAAAATATGTTGAAATAAATCAGCATTAAAATAAGATTATTGCACAGTAATTGGCAATTTTAACCAGCATGATTTGAATGACAAATTGTACATTACAATAAGTTTGACAAATCTACATGTTATAATCTTATGCTTAGGAGAAACCCAGATTTAGGATGCGGCAATGCAAAATGATAATCATAAAAAAAAAAAAAATCCCTACATCAAGTTAAAATCTCCCATTGCATTTTAAAATATGCAGCTCGTTTTGACGTTGATACATAAGCTCGTAACTTAATTTGCCCTTCTTTCGTGAAAGAAATTATTTGCGCTTTTCAGTAAGAAACATAGAAAATGCTGGCAGCTGTTATCCGGTTCGAAGCCAGCTTGGTTACATTTTATAAGAATATAAAGTTTAGAAATATTCAGTTAAAAAAAAAATAATGGCCTGCAAAAAAAAAAATCTACCTTTAAAATCTGTTTCATTCTATTAGACTAATGCACTGTCGATAAAACACCAATTTCCTCTCGGTGTAATATTAACTGTCAATTTGATATTTCTCTTCCATCGATAATTTCCTGTTATGGCCCGCCAGCAGCCTGCAGAGCTGGCAGCGGAGTCAGACAGTGAGGAGGCTGGGGAGGGACATGGGCCAGTCCTGGAGTCAGGGGAGGGCCGGGACGAGGGCTCTGCGTCGGAGGCAGAGATGGGGCCAGGGCCATCTGGGACTGATGCACGGACTCCAGAGTCCCCAGAGTCGGATATCAGAGACGCAGAGGAACAGGAGGAGCCTGTTCCTAGTGTGCGCATGCACAGAGCTGCCAGAAGGCAAGAGCAGATAAAGCAAAAGGGACGACTCAGGAGGAAGGCCAGGAGATGATTGGCCCCTCCCATAAGGCTTAAAAGAGAAGCAAAGGCACGTGTGCACTTTGCAGGAAAGCAAGGTTGTTAATTCTGTTCCCAGTCAGCATCTCTGTTTGATTCTGGACTCCATGTGGCTTTGCCAAGTAGGCAGCGTGTCAAGGGAGATAAAGGTTGGTGATGATCCCAAAGGACTTTTTGCAACTAATTGGGACTCAGCTGTGAATGAACGTAATTCACAGCTGTTGCAATAAAAGAGGTTTTTGGGACTACTCGTGTGTTTTAGTGACTCAGGAGGCCTAGGTCACAACAATTTCCGTCATCGCCAATCAATTGTACAGGAGGTAGTCCTCAACTTAAGACCACAGTTGAGTGCAAAATTTCTGTTGCTAAGTGAGAGGTTGGTTTAGTGAGTTTTGCCCCATTTTACAACCTTTCTTGCCACAGTTGTTAAGTGAATCTGGCTTCCCCATTGAGTTTGCTTGTCAAAAGATCTCAAAAGGAGATCCCGTGACCCAGGGAGTCTGCAACGGTCATAAATATGAGTCAGTGGCCAAGTGACTGAATTTTGTTCACGGGACCATGGGGATGCTGCAATGGTCGTAACTGTGAAAAACGGTCCTGAATCCGTTTTCAGGAACCCAGCATCAACTTATCATTTGCAAAGCTTCCTTTTCTATAGTTTCATTTCATTTTATTCGGAACAAAGTTAAAATCCAAAATGAAATAAAGGTCTGAGAAGACTTATTTCAGCCCTTCGTACAATCTCTATACTTCACACACACTTTAACCTTCTATTTAAAAATAGAAATAAAAATAAATATTAATCGAATAAGAAATTGAAATGAGAATAAGGATAATTAGAAAATCGGGGCTGCTCGAATACTTTAGATTGAACTGAAAAGGGAAACAAGAAGAGAGAGGGGAAGGAGTAGAGAGAGAGGAAAGGAGAAAAGAGGAGAGGAGAGGAGAAAGAAGAAAGGGAAAAGGAGAGGAAGAAAAGGGAGGGGAAAGAGTAGAGAGAGGGGAAGAGAGGAGAGAGGAGAGGAGAAGGAGAGAGAGAAGAAAGGGAAAAGGAGAGGAAGAAAAGGGAGGGGAAAGAGGAGTAGAAGAGAAGGTTAGAAGGGGGAAGAAGAGAGGAGTGGGGGAAGGGAAGGGGAAGTAGGAAAGAGAAGGAGAGGAAGAAAGAAGAAAGTAGGAGGAGAAGGAGGAAGGAAGAGAAGGGGAAGAGAAGAAGAAAGGTTGGAGTAAAGGTAAATGGTAAAAGAGCAGCCCCGAAAAAGTAAAAATGAATGTTAAAAGATAAGGTGAATGAAAAATGATGGATAAATGACTGTACATGTAAATGTATTTATGAGAAATAAAAATAAAAAAACTTAAAAAAAAAACCTTCAATTTTTTCTGGCTGTGATCCCAACAAATCAACAGAACGAGAATGTTTAACACAACAATTTTGTGAGAGGCCACAACAACGGGGGGGAGAGACCCCAAGACTGTCATTTTAAGAACAGGCTTTGCAAGGTCAGGATTAAAACAAATAAATATATATATAACGGAGAGCTGCCCAACCCCCCCGTCAATTTCTTCCCAAATCCAATTTAAATCATTCTCCCCCAAACCTAATCTATATCCATAATTATATCATTTGGTACAACAAGCTTGTGAGCGGTTTCCCACAATTTATGTAGATTAAAATTCATGGGTGCCATACTACCGATTCTGTATTATGAAGATTGATTAAGACAGCTGATGCAGTGATTAAAAGAGTGTGCATTTACTGTTGCAATTAATTAGGCATTCAGACACAACAATAACTACAATAACCAGAAGAATGCGCTGAGCCGGCATTTGTGGCTTAGGGGTGGAGGCTTCTCGGCTGCTTTGACAAGGATCCGGGTTTGACGGAAGGGCCGTAAAAAGGGAGCATAGAGTTGGAAGGGACCTTGGAGGTCTTCTAGTCCAACCCCCTGCCCAGGCAGGAAACCCTACACCATTTCAGACAAATGGTTGTCCAAACTCTTCTTAAAAACCTCCAGTGATGTAGCATCCACAACTTCTGGAGGCAAGTTGTTCCACTGATTAATTGTTCTAACCATCAGGAAATTTCTCCTTAGTTCTGGGTTGCTTCTCTTCTTGATTAGAATAGAATAGAATAACAGAGTTGGAAGGGATCTTGGAGGTCATCTAGTCCAACCCCCTGCTTGAACAGGAGACCCTATAACATTTCAGATAAATGGTTGTCCAGAATCGTTTTGAAAGCCTCCAGTGATGGAGCAACCACAACTTCTGAAGACAAGTGGTTGCATTGGTTAATTACTCTCATGGGTAGGAAATTTCTCCTTAATTCCAGGTTGCTTCTCTCCTTGGTTAGTTTCCACCCATTGCTTCTTGTCCTGCCTTCAGGGGCTTTAGAAAATAATTTGACCCCCTTGTCTTTGTAGGAGCCCCTCAAATATTGGACCACTGCTATCATAACAGATTAACCGAGTTGGAAGAGATTTTATAGGTCATCTAGTCCAACCCTCCGCTTAAGCAGGAGACCCTACACCAGTGATGGCTAACCTTTTTGCCATCGCGTGCCAAAAGTGGAGGAAGCGTGGGCGGAGTCATGCAGGTGAGTGCCCACACCCATAATTCTATCCGCCCCGCCCCCACGCATGCGCGTGTGACCCGCCCGATTTTGGCACACGATGACACGGTGGGCCCAGTAGGCCCATTTTTTTGCCCTCCCCAGGCTCCAGAGCCTTTCTAGGAGCTTGGGGAGGGTGAAAACAGCCCCCCCGGAGGCCCTCCGGAGGCCAGAAATGGCCAGTTTGCTGACTTCCAAAGTTCCTTCCAACTTTGTTATTCTCTTATTCTTGGTGCTTTGTTAGCTTGGCTGTTTTCTTGTGGATGTTTCATTACCCAGCTAGGTAACATAATCAGTGATAGTGAATGTAGGTTGTGCTCTCTGTTCATATAAACAGGGAGCAAACCATACTCATTAGCACTGATAATGTTACCTAGCTGGGAAATGAAATGTCTGCAAGAAAACAACCAAGCTCAGAGAGTACCAAGCACCCACAGTTCTCCTCCTCCTCCTCCTCCTCCTCCCTCCTCCTCCTCCTCCTCCTCCTCCTTTCCACAAAGTCCACTCCCTTCTAACACTGATGATGTTCCCTAGTTGGGTAATGAAATGTCTGCAAGAAAATAACCAACCTTATAATAATAATACCATTTATTGTCATTGTACGTGTATACACAGTATACCCATACAACGAAATTCACTTAACACCCAAAGACCAGGTCCAACATACATAACAATCCCCAAACACACACACACACACACCAAAAATTCCCAGCCCCTAAACTAGTCTGACTAGATGGTTCAGTGGCTAAGACACTGAGGTTGTTGATCAGAAAGGTCGGCAGTTCGGCGGTTCGAATCCCTAGTACAGGTCTCCTGCGTGAGCAGGGGGTTGGACTAGATGACTTTGAAGGTCCCTTCTGTTACTATTAAACCCAAACATCCACACAACAGACCAAGCGGCATGATAGCCTAGTGGTGAAGACACTCGCTTCCCACTTGGAAGGTTGAGAGTTCAATCCTAGGTAGCAGCAGATGTTTCTCTCTTAGGGCACAAAAAGGAAGCATTTGCTATGAACTCTGTGTAGGTGTCAGGAAGGGCATCTGGCCAGTAAATTCTAAACTCCATCTAGTCACCCTGACTCTACCCTGAGTTAAGGGATTACAGAGCCATAAAAGCAGCAAATGTTTCTCTCTTAGGGCATAAAAAGAAAGCATCTGCTGTGAACTCCGCATAGGTGTCAGGAAGGGCATCTGGCCAGTAAATGCTCAACTCCAACTAGTCACCCTGACTCTACCCCGAGTTAAGGGATTACAGGGTCATAAAAGGGAGGATTTTTTTTTTTTTAGTGAAGTCAAGTAATGGAGCTATCTTATAAGAGTTAAGGTTCTTCTTTGGTCTTTGAGTAGCTTCCACCTTGTCTCTTCGAAGATGAGGGGACTTCAACTCCCAGAATTCCCCAGCCAGCAAAAGTATTGGGTCAGAGGTCGAAGCAAGAGGTCCCTAGGCCAAAATTTTGTCTTACCTGGGTAAGGATGGATGCCGTTGGCAAAGACGGCTTCTGCTGCAGGTTGCCCATTGGCCTGTGGCGGGAGACCAGTGAAACCATTCACCCCGATGGGGGAGGGGATGCTAGGCACGGCTGGTGCAGTGATGCCTGGAGGCGTGCTGCCACCTGGAGGGCGGGAGAGGAAAGGCAGAGAGTCAAATCAATTGCGTCCCTCGGTTTGAGAGTATACAGGAAGTCCTCGACTTACGACCGCGATTGAGCCCCAAAATTCCATCGCTAAGCAAGACTGTTGTTAAGTGAGTTTTGCCTCATCAATCAATTGCGTTCCTCGGTTGAGAGTATACAGGAAGTCCTGGAACTTACAACCGCTATTGAGCCCAAAAATTCCATCGCTAAGAGAGGCCGTTGTTAAGTGAGTTTTGCCCCAATTGTAAGTGAATCACCGCCCTTGTTAAATTGGTAACACGATCGTTAAAGAGAATCTGGCTTCCCCACTGAGTTTGTTTCTCAGGAGGTCTCACAAAAGAGAATCATGTGAGCCCGGGGACGTTGAGACCGTCATAAACGTGAGTCGGTTGCCCAGCGTCTGAATTTTGATCACGTGACCACGGGGACGTTGCGACGGTCGTAAGTGTGAAAGACCTGTCCTAAGTGGGTTTTTTTCAGTGCCGGCAAAACTTTGGTCACTAGATGAACCGTTGTAAGTCGAGGACTGCCTGTATTGCGACGGCTTGCTCGGCCGCGTTGGTGCTGCCTCGGTTGCCCTTCGGATGCTTACCTGAGGTGGGCGTCATGGGGGTGGCCGCCAGCCCGTTCATGTTGAGGGCGGCCATCTGCTGCATCTGGGCTGCTGCGAAGGCCGCCATGGGGTTTAGGTAGCCGCCTTGAGCCACAGAGGCCATGATGGCAGCCTGTTGCTGCATCAGCTGGAACAAAGGAGAGCAGAGCAAAATATCACGCATTCACTGGCAGGGCAGTTGGGCGAGAGGGAGGGAGAGGACGGCGCCCGGACGGTTCCCAAACCCCTCGCCAGAACTGTGGTGGGTGTGCAAAACTCTTTACTTTGAACCCAGCCTCAAGGGAGGAGGAGGAGCAGGAGCAGGAGGAGGAGGAAGAGGAGGAAGGAGAGGAAGAAAAGGAGAAGGAGAGGAAGCAGTAATGGGAGGAGGAGGAAAAAGAGGAGGAAGAAGAAGAGGAGGAGGAGAAGGAGAGGAAGCAGAAGTGGGGAGGAGGAGGAGGAGGAGGAAGAAGAAAGGAAGAAGAAGAGGAGGAGAAGGAGAGGAAGCAGTAGTGCGGAGAAGGAGGAGGAGGAAGAGAAGGAGGAGAGGAAACAGTAGCGGCGAAGAAGAAGGGAGAGAAGGAGTATAGAATGGAAAAGGAGAAGGAGGAAGAGGAAGAGGAGGAAAAGAAGAAGGAGAAGGAGAGGAAGCAGTAGGGGAGGAGGAGAAGAAGAAAGAGGCAGAAGAGGAGGAGGAGGAGAAGGAGGAGAGGAAACAGTAGCGGCGAAGAAGAAGGGAGAGAAGGAGTATAGAATGGAAAAGGAGAAGGAGGAAGAGGAAGAGGAGGAAAAGAAGAAGGAGAAGGAGAGGAAGCAATAGCGGGGGGGAGGAGGAGGAGAAGAAGAAAGAGGCAGAAGAGGAGGAGGAGGAGGAGGAGAGGAAGCAGTAGCAGAAGAGGAGGAGGAGGAACAGGAGAAATATAGATAGGAGAAGGAGAAGAAACGGGAGAAAGGGAAGGAGGAGGAGGGAGAGGGAGATGAGGAAAAGGAAGAGGAGAGGAAGCAGTAGCAGAGGAAGAGGAAGGGGAAGAGGAAGAGGAGAAAAAGAGAAGAAGGAGAAGGAGAAGGAGAGGAAGCAGTAGCGGAGGGGAGGAGGAAGAGGAGGAGGAGGAGATGATTTTCTAGGATGATTCCCCAAATTGAGGTCCAGATGAAAAGGAGACCAGTTTATAGACTGTTTATAGATAAGAGCCTTGCCCGGTCACTCATGATGGTTCTTGGCAATTCTTTGATTACAAACCACTAATGTGTGTGTAAACCAGCCACTAGTTTGTAAACAGAGAGTAAAGCATGAGTTTGAGTTAAGCCGATGAATGAATAAAATGATCTATAAATTCTATATATCACACTGGTCCCTTTGCAAAATGTGGGTTTCTGTCCCTGCTTTATATATCTGCAGTAAAGTTCTGCTCTGGTTCTGCAGTGATAATTTGTGCGTCTTGAGGGCAGCTGCGTGAGATTTTCATCTGGTCTTGTGTCCTTCTGACGTTCCTTGCTGGCAAACCTCCCATTTTTTCCTAACTGGAGAGAAACAGCCGGTTTGCCAGGATAAATATTCCTCGTGGTGGCGCCCCCTGGTGGCCAATCCTGACATTTCCTGACTTGGAAAGCTGGCGCTCGCAATGTGTCTACAATGTGCTTAGACTGGGTGGGCAGTGGTGGGCTGCAACCGGTTCTGTGAGCGCGCACGAGCGTTCAAAACACAGCAATTTGAAGCTCATTTGATCGTCGGGACTACCGGTTCGCCCGAACAGATCCGAACCGGCAGCAGCCAACCACTGCAAGGGTCTGTGGGGATGGGTCTTCCTTGGAAGCGTGGGATTCACTGGCTAATATTTTCTATGAATGCTCGGGAAGTGGGTCTTGGCGAGTCGGAATGCAGATTGCAAGCAGATTTGTGGTTTTTTGTAAAACCTGCTGGCTGAGCGTACCATCCTTGCCGAGGATTGTACCATCCTTAAATTAAAGGGTTTCCCTCTCTCTATCCTTCCTTCCTTCCTTTGGTCCTTCTTTCTCTCTTTCTTCTCCTTTTTCCCTCCCTCCCTCCCTCCCTCTCTTTCTCTCTTTCTTTACCTTCCCTTCCTCCTTCCCTCTCTCCTCCTTCCCGCCTCCCTTCCCTCTCTTTTTTTCTCTCTCCTTCCTTCCTTCTTCTCAATTTCTTTCTTTCTTTCTTTCTTTCTTTCTTTCTTTCTTTCTTTCTTTCTTTCCTTCCTTCCTTCCTTCCTTCCTTCCTTCCTTCCTTTCTTTCTCTCTCTTTCTTCCCTTGCTCCTTCCCTTCTCACCCTCTTTTTCTCTCTTTTTACTTCCTTCTTCCCCTTCCTTCCTTCTTCCTTCCTTTTCCTCCCAAATCTCTTTCTTTCCTCCTCCTCCACCTCCTCTTCCTCCTCCTTCCTTCCTTTTCTATTCCTTCCAAATCTTTCTTTCCTCCTCCTCCTTTTCCTTCCTTCCTTCCTTCCTTCCTTCCTTCCTTCCTTTTCTGTTCCTCCCAAATCTCTCTTTCTTTCCTCCTCCTTCCTTCCTTCCTTCCTTCCTTCCTTCCTTCCTTCCTTCCTTCCTTCCTTCCTTCCTTCCTTCCTCCCTTCCTTCCTCCCTCCCTCCCTCCCTCCCTCCCTCTGTTTCTATCAGGGCATTAAGGCCTCCATCTCAACAGACTAGGGGGCTTGCCAAGAAAGAGGCAGGCAGGCAGGGAAGCCATCACTCCACTTGCTGTTGCCAAAGACGGTGACTTCCCTGTTCAACCTAACCTTGGTCCTCCCAACAGGTAGCAGAAGCCCACGGTTGCCTGTTTTAACAGCCCTGCCAGGATACCCAGTTTCTGAAAATGGAAGTTTACTTTTTTGCTCTTTCAGAATTAGGATTTTGTCCTCATCTGCAAATGTATGCAGACTTAATGTGCTCATTAATAACTTATTTGCCCAAAATGCCTGCAATTAATTAAGTAAGATTTCTTTAGCAGAATGACAATTTGAAAGGCAGGGGGAGGGAGGGAGAGAGAAAGAGAGGGAGGAGTAGAGAGAGATCGAGGGAGAGAGGGAGAGAGAGAGAGAGAGAGATTGAGGGAGAGAGAGAGAGAGAGAGGGAGGGAGGGAGGAGGAGAGAGAGAAGAGAGAGATCGAGGAGAGAGAGAGAGGAGAGAGAGAGAGAGGGAGGGAGAGAGAGAGGGAGGGAGGGAGGGATATATATAGTATAGTATCTATTTTCTTACTTCTTCGTAGGGTTTATGTGTGTTTTTCCTCTAGCCAGGTTTTCCTTCTCTCCCTCCCTCTCTTCTGTTTCTTCTTTCTTCCTTCCTGCTTTCCTTTGTCTCTTTCACTCTCTCTTTCTTTCTCCTCCCTCCCTCCCTCCTTCCCTTCTTCCCTCCCTCCCCCTCTCTCTTCTCTTTCCCCTTCCTTCCTTCCTGCTTTCCTTTCACTGTTCTCTTTGTCTCTCTTCTCTTACTCTCTCTCTTTCTCTTTCCTCCCTCCCTCCCTCCTGTTCTCCCTCTCCTCTCCTTTCTTCCTTCTCTCCCTCCCACTTCATTTTCTCTTCCTCCCTTCCTTCTTCCCCTCCCTCCCTCCTCCCTTCCTTCCTCCTCTCTCTTCTCTTTCCCCTTCCTTCCTTCCTGCTTTCTTTTCACTCTTCTCTGTTTCTCTTCTCTTTGTCTCTTTGTCTCTTTCTTTCTCCTTCCTCCCTCCCTCCCTCCCTTCTTCCCTTCCCTCCTCTTCTCTTTCCCCTTCCTTCCTTCCTGCTTTCCTTTCACTGTTCTCTTTGTCTCTCTTCTCTTTCTCTCTCTCTCTCTCTCTTTCTCCTCCTCCCTCCCTCCTGTTCTCCATCTCCTTTCTTTCTTCCTTCTCTTCCTCCCTCCCTTCATTTTCCTTCCTTCCTTCCTTCCTTCCTTCCTTCCTTCCTTCCTTCCTTCCTTCCTTCCTTCCTTCCTTTCCTTCCTCTCTCTTCTCTTTCCCCTCCTTCCTTCCTGCTTTCCTTTCATTGTTCTTCTCTTTGTCTCTCTTCTCCTCCTCCTTCTCCTTCTTCTCCTCCCTTCCTCCCTCTCTCCTCCCTCCTCACACGAGAGCTCCTTCAATGTGTTTGAAATGCAAGTCAGAAAGAAGGAATGGATCATTGGACCTTCCGGGATCTCTGGCTGTGAAGGTGGCAGCTTCCCACTGGATCGTTAATTCCTCTTTCTTCCTACACGCCTCTTGCAAGACCCTTTTGCATTTTAATTAGCGATTTAGTGTTCTTTGTAATTGCTGATGGTGTGATTAGAAGTCCTTGGCTGTCCCTGCACAATAGCGGCCCTCTCTTCTCTTTTTAAAAGGTCCCACCTGTTCACCTGGCATTCACGGAAAGTATGGTCCAGATTGATGAGCAGGTGGTTTTTTAAAAAATCCACCAATGAAAAGTGGTGGGTGCTGCTGGGGGGAGGGGCTAGGAGGCTTATTAAAAACAGAAAGTTTTGAAACAACTAAAGGAGTAAGACAGGGCTGACCACTGTCTCCTCTGCTGTTCATTCTGTCTGTGGAGACATTAATGTCCCAAATTAGGGATAATTCGGAAATAAGGGGATTAAAAATTAAGTCACAAGAATGTAAGGTCCAAGCATGCGCAGATGATCTGGCATTTATTATTGAGGAACCTTTAGAATCTGGACCTATTTTACTACAAGATATAAACCAATTTGGCGCAGTAGCAGGATTTAAAACGAATGAAGACAAAGCCAAAATATTGACTAAGGGGTTTAAGGCACCCTGTTATTAAGCTGGTTATTAAGACCAGCTGCCTGCAATTACTGCAGGGTTCGAATCTCGCCAAGGCTCAAGGTTGACTAGACTCCCTTCCATTTCTAAGGTAGGTGAAATGAGGACCCAGTTTGTGGGGGCAATAAGCTGACTTTGTATAAATATACAAAAGGATGAAGGCTATTGCTTAACGCATTGTAAGCCGCCCCGAGGCTCTAGAGAAGGGCAGCATATAAATCAAATTAAAAAAAAAAAACAGGCAGAGTGAACAACTATTCTCTTATTCTGTACAGAGTCTCCTGCTTGAGCAGGGGGTTGGACTAGAAGACCTCCAAGGTCCCCCCAGCTTTGTTATTATGTTATTCTCTTATTCTGCACAGGGTCTCCTGCTCGAGCAGAGGGTTGGTCTAAAAGAGCTGAAGAAGCTTCTTGGATGAGAAGCGAAACGTCTTCAAAGAAAAACCAGAAAGTCCAGTTGCCTCTTGAAAAAAGCAGCTTTGGGACCAGAAAGGAGTGGGTTTGCAAAGAGGAGGAGGAGGAGGAGAAGAAGGAAGAGGAGGAGGAGAAGGAAGAGGAAGAGGAGGTGGTGAAGAAGGAAGAGGAGGAGAAGAAGAAAAAGGAGGAGGAGGAGAAGAAGAAGGAAGAGGAGGAGGAGAAGGAGAGGAAGAGGAGAGGAGGAGAAGGAAGAGGAAGAGGAAGAGGAGAAGAAGGAAGAGGAGGAGAAGAAGAAGGAAGAGGAGGAGGAGGAGAAGAAGGAAGAGGAAGAGGAGGAGGAGAAGAGGGAAGAGGACGAGAAAAGAAGGAAGAGGAGGGGAGAAGAAGAAGGAAGAGGAGGAGGAGAAGAAGGAAGAGGATGAGAAGAAGAAGGAAGAGGAGGAGGAGAAGGAAGAGGAGGAAGAGGAGAAGAAGAAGAAGAGGAGGAGAAGAAGAAGGAAGAAGATGAGAAAGAAGAAGGAAGAGGAGGTGTATGAGGAGGATTTTAGAGTCCTTGGTGCTCTCTGAGCTTGGTGATTTTCCTGCAGACATATCATTGCCCAAACCATGTAACATACTTAGTGGTAACCTAGTTTATGTCATGGAAGGACTGTAAGAAAACCACCAAGCTCAGAGAGCACCAAGGACCCCTCAGTGTTAGTTAAGTTGTCCCACCTTCATTTATGGAACAGATGCACCGTTTATCTTTCTGAAAAAAAATCTCAATTTGAGAAGGCATCTGCTCTCATAAAGGCCATCTCATCTTGCAGTTTTGCGGTGGTCCTTGGCGATACCTGTTGAGTTTTCAAGAGGGTTTTGGGGCGGGTTGGCCTAATTATAACCCAGATACAGATAGTCCTCGACTTACAACAGTTCATTCAGTGACCAGTGGAACGGCACTGAAAAAAAGTGACTTACGACCCTTTTTCGCACAACCGTTGCATTATCTCCATGGTCACGTGATTGTACAATTTGGATTCTTGACAACTGACTCACAGGTATGACGGTCGCAGTGTCCCGGGTTTACGCGATCCTTTTTTGTGACCCTTCTGACAAGCACAGCCAATGGGGGAAGCGGGATTCACTTAACAATGGTGTTACTAACTTAACAACCGCAGCAATTCGCTGACCGGATATGGCAACAACGGTCGTAAAAAATGGGACAAAACTCACTTCCCAAATGTCTCGCTTAATGACATAAATTTTGAGTTGTACGTCAAGGACTACCTGTAGCGTATGGAATCCCTCCCGACCTTCAACTGCGGGGCAAAAGCCACCCACTTAGAACCCCCTGGTTGTGTTGACACTCACTGCCTGTGCATAAGCGCCGTAGGCTCCAAACTGTATGGCCATGGGGTTGAACATGCCCATCTGCCCCGCCATTTGCTGCATCCGGCGCATAGTGCGCTCTTTGTCCGTGTCGGCAAACTTGACCACCAGGCTGGACGATGCTCCCTGCAGGAAGGGAAAAAGAAAAAAGGAAGTGAGTCCAAAAAATAAGAAGTGCTAAACAGAACTATTTTGAAAACGCAAATAAACCGGGAAGGTGGCTAGCATATAAATTGAAAAAAGAAAGGGAATCAGGAAGTGAGTCTGGGTAAGAAGCAAAAAAAAAGAGAAGCCATTCCAGATATATATATATATATATATATTTAATTTGATTTATATGCCGCCCTTTTCCGAAGACTCAGGGCGGCTTACAATGTGCTCAGCAATAGCCTTCATCCTTTTGTATATTTATACAAAGTCAGCTTATTGCCCCCACAAACTGGGTCCTCATTTCACCTACCTTAGAAAGGATGGAAGGCTGAGTCAACCTTGAGCCTTGGCGAGATTCGAACCCTGCAGTAATTGCAGGCAGCTGGTCTTAATAACCAGCTTAATAACAGGGTGCCTTAAACCCTTGTACTACCAAGGCTCTGTCACCTTTGAAAAGTGTAGACTGTGCGGAGATGGATAAATTGAAGAAAGAAATAAAAGAAAAAGATGGAACGGAATATTACTTCATATGGAATAAATCTGTTGTGAACCAGGCCCAAGTAGCTATTATCAGATGCAATCAGTTCGAAAACAAACAGACTTTATTAGAACAGCTGAGAATTAACTCATTCTCAGCGTAGTCCAAACTAATTCAAAACAAATTCTTCATAACACAATTCTTCAGCCTTATCACCAACCTTGGTCTAATTAGGCAACCTGCCAAAGGCTTTTCTTGGCAAAAGTTCAGGAGCAAAAGACGCCGACAAGAAATAAATGCAGCAAAACAAGAAACAAATCTATCAACGTTGTTTTCCGACAAAGAGCCCAAGAGCCGTTGCTGCTCTTTTAAGCCTTATGGGAGGGGCCAATCATCTCTTGACCTTACTCCCGAGTCATCCTTTTTGCTTTAGCTGCTCTTGCCTTCTGGCAGCTCTGCGCATGCGTGCACTGGGAACAGGCTCCTCCTGTTCCTCTGCCTCTCTGCTGTCAGCCTTTGGAGGCTCAGGAGTCTGCACAACACTCCCAAATGGCCCTGGCCCCATCTCTACCTCCGATGCAGAGCCCTCATCCTGGCCTTCCCCAGACACCAGGACTGGCCCATTTTCCTCCCCAGCCTCCTCACTGTCCGACTCCGCTGCCAGCTCTGCAGGCTGCTGGCGGACCACAACAAAATCAGTGGTGGGTTTCAAATTTTTTTAATACCGGTTCTGTGGGTGTGGCTTGGTGGGCGTGGCATGTCTTGGTGGGTGTGGCAGGGGAAGGATTCTGTAAAATCTCCATTTCCATCCCACTCCAGGGGAAGGATACTGTAAAATCCCCATTCCTCTCCACTCCAGGGGAAGGTTACTGCAAAATCCCCATTTCCTCCCGATCAGCTGGGACTTGGGAGGCAGACAATAGAGGGGGGCGGGTCAGAATTTCCCCTATCGGTTCTCTGAACTACTCAAAATTTCTGCTACCGGTTCTCCAGAACTGGCCAGAACCTGCTGAAACCCACCTCTGGAATAAATGGTACTAATGGTTAGAGGACAGGAATAATAAGCAAGAAAATACATAATAGAGATGATCTAGAAATTAGGAAGCATCAATAAAATGATATCAAATATATAAGATATGTAAAGTAATATATAGTTACGATAGTATGTACTATATAATAAGTAAGGAGTAGTATATATAATATATAAGGAATAAGGGAACCACAAAAATAAACATGTGAATATGTAGGGGGGGGAAAAGCTGTCTCTCTTGCTAGGGGCCATTGAGACAGAGGTGAAATCCAAATTTTTTTTATTACCGGTTCTGTGGGCGTGGCTTGGTGGGCATGGTATGGCTTGGTGGGTGTGGCAGGGGAAGGATACTGCAAAATCCTCATTCCCTCCCCACTCCAGGGGAAGGATACTGCAAAATCTCAATTCCCACCCTACTCCAGGGGAAAGATACTGCAAAATCTCAATTTGCACCCCACTCCAGGGGAAGGATACTGCAAAATCTCCATTCCCTCCCCACTCCAGGGGAAGGATACTGCACAATCCCCATTCCCGGGGGAAGGATATTGCAAAATCTTCATTCTCACCCCACTCTGGGGCCAGCCAGAGGTGGTATTTGCCAGTTCGCCGAACTACTCAAAATTTCCTCTACCGGTTCTCCAGAACCTGCTGGATTTCACCCCTGATTGAGACCCAACTTGCAAGTTAGATAAAAGCATGAAAAGGCAAGGAAATGTTTTTTCCCGTGCACTAGGCCACTTATGACACCTTCCAAACAGATCCCAATTTCACAGTTCCTTGCTCTAGTGCACTTTAGCGCAAATTTTCATTTCCAGGATCTGCTAAACTCGTAGGAAATTATCTTATCCTGAGATGTTTGATCCATCCAGTTGGCAAGACTCACGCAATATGCTAAACTCTCAATCAGAGAGAACCAGATAAAACCTATATGTTCAGATGGTGTACTATGCTTAAGTCACATTCCTCCCATCTTTTGGCTTATTGTGGCCTGTTCACACAACTTGCTAAGACAATGAGTGTGTCAGAGTTTTTTTTACAAAAATCAAATCCAGAAGCACACACAGAAAAACTGATGCAGCAGGATTCATTAACTTCTTTATATTCACAATAATGCATGAAGTAAATTTACAATACCAACAGAAGATTCACAGTTTCAGTTCAGCTCAGATCAGCAGACAAGTTCATACAGACTGGGTTCAATTTCTCTTTCTCAGCACAGACTCAGAAGCTGCAGACTAAGACATACCCTGGCTCCAGTCTTTCAAAGCTCCCAATTGGCTGATTTAGTTGCTATGCCTATTCATTGGCTGACCTTCTTAATGAATGTTCTGACAGAATGGGCTTTTCATAGCATGTGGAACTGCCAACAATCCAACCTACATTTGTACTAATGTATTGTAGAAATTCAGGTCCTTAGTATTATTTATGCCAGTAGGTCTCAACCTTTTCTTCATCAAGGACCCTCTTTAAATACTTTTTGTGGCCATGAGCCATAACCATGGACCACCAAGACTTAACTCAAGATTTAAAGCATAACATTTCTTCCAGCCTTCACAGACCCCTGTGATGGCATCATGGTCCCATAGACCATAGGTAGAGAACCACTATTGCAAAAAAAGCCAGAGGGAGAGCATGAAGATCATGAGAAGTGTTACACCAAACCAGTGACTCTTGGAATATTGCCTCGAATTCTGGTTACGACAGCACCAAAAAAAAAAAAAAAAAAAAGATGTTGAGACTGAAGAAAATGTGCAGAGAAGAGCAACAAAGATGATTAGGGGACCGGAGGCTAAAACATATGATGAATGGTTGAGGGAGCTGGGTATGGCTGGCCTGACGAAGAGAAATCTCAGGGGAGACATGATAGCATCTTCCCATGCTTGGAGGACTGACACAGAAGGTTAGACTTGTTCTCCAAAGCACCTGAGGGCAGGACAAGAAGCCATGGATGGAAGCTTGCCAGAAGGAGGTCCATCCTGGAACTAAGGAGAAATTTCCTGACACAGGGAAGGATGAATCCATGGAACAGCTTCTCTCCTGGAATTGTGGGTACTTCATCGCCGGAGGGTTTCCAAAATAGATTGGACAATCATTTGACCAGGATGGTAGCAGGTCTTGTCATGCCTCAGCATATATGTTGTGGCCCGCCAGCAGCCAGTGGATCTGGTAGTAGATTCGGACAGTGAGGAGATTGGGGAGGAACATGGGCCAGTCCTGGAGTCTGGAGAAGGCTCTGATGAGGGCTCTGCGTCTGAGGCAGAGATGGGGCCAGGGCCGTCTGACAGTTATCAGCTGCCCTCAGAGTCAGACATCAGTGAGGCAGATGAACAGCTGGAGCCTGTTCCCAGTGTACGCATGCACAGATTTGCCAGACGAAGGGAACAGCTAAAGAACAAGGGTCGACTCAGGAGTAAAGCCACAGGCGGCCAATGAATGGCTCCTCCCAGAGGGAATAAAAGAGGAGCGAAAGGGGAGGGGAGTTTGCAGGAGACAATTAGTTCATTCCTGCATTCTTGCCAAGTATTGCTGCGTCTGAAAGATATCGGCCTGGCCACTCTCCGAGCCTGATAAAGGTCGGTAATTGTGAACTATCTCGAAAGACTGTGGGAGAGGAAAGACTTTTCTGGAGAGGAATTCACTGTAAATTAAATAAACGGGGTTTATCAGGACGAGGACTCGACTTGGTGTTGCTGGGGAAGTCTAGGTTAGAACAATATAATCTCGATAAACTGTTGTTGCTTTCTAGCCCATCTAGTGGCCGAGGAACAAATACCAATTATGTTGTTTTGCATCTGACCCAACCCCTTTACCCATCAGCCTGCACTCTCAAAACAGTGCACGATGGGAAGCCAAACTCCATTCCCTTTAGCATTTGGAGAAGGTCATCCAAGGACAAACCCACACCCCATCTCAATCGCTGGTGAGATTTAGATTACCTGTATGTATTAATTGTTATGTTCAGTAGTAACTCAATACTGCCTATCTTGTATTTAGTTCTCACTGCATGTATCCCTATTTTCCCCAGTTTCACCATATCCTGTTTCTTTCAATAAAGATCTACACACACACACACTGTTTTATTGGAGGATAGGTAGGTTTAGCTCGGTGGTGAAATCCATTTTTTTTTTACTACCGGTTCTGTGGGTATGGTTTGGTGGGCGTGATGTGGCTTGGTGGGCGTGGCAGAGGGAAGGATACTGCAAAATCTGCATTCCCACCTGACTCCAGGGGAAGGATACTGCAAAATCTCCATTCCCACCTGACTCCAGGGAAAGGATACTGCAAAATCTCCATTCCCACCCCACTCCAGGGAAAGGATACTGCAAAATCTCCATTCCCCCCCGCTCCAGGGAAAGGATACTGCAAAATCTCCATTCCCACCCCACTCCAGGGGAAGGATACTGCAAAATCTCCATTCCCTCCCCACTCTGGGGCTAGCCAGAGGTGGTATTTGCCGGTTCTCCGAA